ATCCTGCCCCCTTTCTCCGCTCCGTGTCCCCTGCTGTTTGTATTTCCCTCCCACTGCTCTTGTCCCCCTTCGCCACAGGGACGAATCTGCGCAGCACTCGGGATGGGCTCCACGGAGAGTGCGGACGTGTTCACGGTCTCCTCCTGCTGCATCGTGCGCATTCGTTTGCGCATCATTTCCCTTTTCACTTTCGCTCCCTGACGGGCACTTGGACTCCACGGCCCTGCCGTTCATGGGGTGCCGAGGCCGATGAGAGGTGCCGCACATTCGTGTGTTTCCCCCGGGATACGTCCGGCCTGCGGCCGTGCACCGTGCGGTGGGAGGGGGCGGCGGGGAAACAGTGTGGGCGGCGCCAACGCAGCGGGAGGGGGCTGCGGCGACGTTGCCTCTTGGGCGAGTTCGTTTGGGAGGGTCTCATTCGGCGGTTAGTGCGTGCGTGGGGTGCACTGCCGCCACCGAAGTGCTGCGGGTGGTGTTGCATCTCGCACCACAGCGTACTTGGTCGGCTAAAAAAAAAGAAGAGGATAACCTGAACGGTTTGGGGAGAGACTTATTCTTTTCTCAAGTTCCGCTTCTCTTCATTTGTTTGGGGCGCGGGGCGTTGCAATTGTGGAACACGGTGGGTTTTCTTGCGTCCCAGGGAGAGGGTTAGGGGGCAAACTCTGCCGCGTGTTTCCTTTTCCCCCTTTGGTGCGTGGCCCCATTCGGGAAGTGGGCACTAGAGGCCCCGCGACGCGACGCGACTGCGGGCGAGGGCCACGGGTCGGTGGCGGGGGGCGCGACGGCGTGGACGAGTTCCCGTCTACCTGCAGCGGTGGCCGACGCAGTGAGAATTCTGCGGTGGAGTGGGCAACGAGAGTTGCCTTTGCGGTGTCGTGCCTTTCTTCGTTCTTCTGTCTGAGGACTAGTGCTGCTGCGTGTGGCGCAGTGGGATCTTTTTTTTTGTGTGTGGTGGCTGCTCTTTGCGTCATTGGCTCTGGGGGCTTCCGCGCTGCGTGTGTGTGTGCGGTGGCGTGTCTCTCACCGGCGTGGCGGGCGCAGTGCACGGGCGGCAACCCCCCGCACCCGCCACGCTGTTGTTGTTGTCGCTGACTCTCCCCAACACTCTGCCGGTGAGTGCGTGGGGCTCCCACTTGCCGTCGCGGTGGTCGTTCTGCTTGAGTGTGTGTGTGTCGGTGCGCCTATTTTTTTTTTCGCATATCTACTCCTCTCATTCTCTTTTGGCTGGTGGTTGGTGTTCGGCTGCAGCTCAAGCCAACAACAATCACAAAAAGTAAAACAAACAAGGAAAGAAATGCCTGGGATGAATGAAGAACAACTTAACGCTTCTGCGGAGAGCCCTGCCACTAATGTGCCGCTGCCCCCGCGGCACGCAAGGGCGGAATCCGACAGCGGCGTTTCCGGCCAACCCCCTGCACAGCGCCGAAGGGTGGAGAGAGCACAGCAGAGGCCATCGTGGACCCTCACCAGTACCGTGGAGGAAGTCTTGCTGGCGGGATTAGATGCTACAGAACAAATGACGCTAAGCGACTTCATCAGGAGGTACGTTGCTCCCAATTTCGTGCTCGATGAAGAACACAATGTAATGATGGGGGTGTTTATTCAGGGGCCTGAGGATTGCATCAGTGACGAGCGGCTCCTACGAAGAATTCTTAATTCACAAGCGTATCAGTTCCTGTTTGATGCCCGCAATCTAATGGAACACGAGGTGGGTACGCTCCAAGACTGGAAGGACTTTGATCAGAAGAACATTGTCTCTGCTATTACAAGGACA